CGGAGAAAGTGGTTCCTCGAGAATGGAAGCATGTTTCTTCAAGAACTCATCGCCGACTCTAATGGCATATCAAACCCTATCCGAATGTTCTCTTCCGATCAAATCTCTGAAGCCGAGAAACTCTACGGTCCCAACTGTTTTTACTACGATTTCTTCACCGGTGTCATGGAAGACAGATCATACACAATCAAGAAATATATATGGTTCGGAGGAGACGAAGAGATCGTATTTGTACCAGAGAATTACAAGGACATTGTCTTATCTGCTCGGGTAAGCAATCACAGTGGTTTCCTCAAACTCATTGGATGCTGTCTCGAATTTCCTTATGCGGTCGGGGTGTTTGAAAAGCCAGAAAATGGAGTTTTGAACCAAAGAGGAAGTGTTGGTTGCGATGACTCTCCCTTGTTGCCTTGGAATGTTCGATTAAAGATTGCCAAGGAGGTTGCGACTGCCATAACTTATCTTCACACGGCTTTCCCTAGGATCATTATCCACAGAGATATCAAGGCAACAAATGTTTTCTTGGATAAGAATTGGAATGCGAAGCTGACTGATTTCTCGCTTTCCGTAACACTCCCTGAGGGTAAGACGTGGATTGAAGATACTGTGAGGGGAACTATCGGATACATAGATCCGACTTATTTCAAAACGGGTTTAGTGACAGAATACACGGATGTGTTCAGCTTTGGAATCTTTATGTTGGTTCTTCTGATAGGTAGATCACCATATTCTTTTGGATCAGATGGGGATCTTCTCGATTACGCCAAGGATCTGCAAGAGAGAGGAGAACCTGTTGAATTCGGGGATGATACGAACGACATGGAGCCTGGTCAGATGAAAATGTTTCTTGAGCTAGCATTGAGATGCTGCGAGGAGAGGAATGATGACAGGCCAAAGATGATCTTGGTTGCTAAAGAGATTAAGCTGATAGAAAGATCACTCGACTGGAGATCGAATCCCCTTTTTGGTTGGATAACGGTGGAAGGGATGAAGAGGAGGAACCTCTCGACTGCAATGTTTCGGAAACCGGATCCCCTTTATGGTCGGATAACGGTGGAAGGGACGAAGAGGATGAACCCCTTTCTGGTCGATAGTCTGACTGGTCTTTCTTGAAGAATTTTCTTATGGACTCCCCTTGAAGAATGCCATACCGATCCATCGCATTGTCTCATCTGCAAAATGTACAACACACAAATGTTCTTCAGAAAAATTATCTTGTCACTTGTTTTCAAAAACATTCATAATACATTAAAAATTAATGATGTTGTGAAGCCCAAACCATAGATGCAATATCATATCTTATAATTTGCATGTATTGACCTACATCTCTCTCATCGCCTTGCATTGTCCGTTGATCCTCCTTGAATAACTTCAATTATTGATTTTTATTTGTTTTGCTTATTATTGGGGTCATTAATTGTTTTCACCAAAAAACGAGTATAATCTCACTTTGCTTAATGGACAAGTATCTCAGAGAAGCCAAGAAGAAKAGATTAGTCTCCTACATAACCGTAGATTCGACACGAAGTTTTAACATTTTGGTACTATGTTTTATTTACCTCTTGTGCTCAATTCGGCTTATACTATGTATGAACTTTTCATGAAGTTTGTTGGATATTCTCTCCATTAGCCCATACAAATCATGAGAAGAATGAAGAAAACTCCAGAATTATGGAGAAGATTCTAGAATGATAGAGAACATTGGAGAATAAAAAAGTTTCTAGAATTACTATGATAAATTGATAAGGTTAGAGATAATTCTAGAATATGTTAGAGTATAAGTGTATAAGGCTTAGAGAGTAATCTAGAACATTGTAGGATCTAAGTCACCACTACTATAAATATAAGTGCTTGGTTTCATTTTGTGATATAAGAACCAAGAGAAGTCCTAAGATCACACCACCAAAGAGTGTTAATTTTAAAAACTCTCTTGTAATAATTCTTTATACTAATAAAATAGTTTGGTTTGAAATCATAGTTTTCTAATTCCCATCTTATTCTCACAAAAGAAGATTGGGTAATTTTCTCAACAAAGTTGATTAATGAATATTGCATACCAATAAATTGTTTACTATAGAGAAACCAAAACCAAACTTATAACTTGTTTTCTGCAGAGAATATAGACACAAGAGCTTACTCATGCCGCATGTAGGCTACATGATGTAGCTAGCTTAGCAGTTTCATGGACTCAAGACCAAACTGAAATGCAGAGCTCGTGTCTGAAAGACCAAACTAACATTTGTACCAAAGTGTTTTTTGGCGACAACTCTACACAAAAAATTTCACTTGCAATTTGAGCATAAACAAGAAATTACACGGATGTGTTCAGCTTTGGAATCCTTATGCTGGTTCTTCTGATAGGTAGACCACCATATTATTTTGGATCAGATGGGGGGGTTTATTGGTATATTCTCGATTACGCCAAGGATCTGCAAGAGAGAAGAGAAACTGTTGAATTCGGGGATGATACGAATGACACGAGGCCTGGTCAGATGATAATGTTTCTTGAGCTGGCATTGAGATGCTGCGAGAAGAAGAATGAAGACAGGCCAAAGATGATCGTGGTTGCAAAAGAGATTAAGCTGATAGAAAGATCACTCGATTGTTAAAGCCTGAGATGCTGAACAATGTGTCTAAGGATGGTCAGATTTTAAGATTGAGATCATGCCACAAACTTGGGCTGTGTGTATTAGTGAGATCACTACGTTGATGATATTCATAAAACTAACTCTTGGGAGAATCTTGAAGATTAATATGATGAGTCATTGAAACGTTTGAAGTATGTTGCAGCTTTATCAATCTCCGGTAAGGCGTTGTATTCTCATGTTGCATATGTTAATCTCAAATCAATATCTGCTAGCGGTAATCTGATACATTTGGTCTAGTGACTTAAGAATCTGATACAATAAAAGTAAATATTTGCAGTTATGGATCTGGTTAAGTATAAATAGGGGAGTGGTTTGTTTTGGAGTCTTAAAGTTGGGATAGTGATGAGATCACAACATGCGTATTGAGTGATGAGATCTTAGCTCAATATTCATTACAATCGGTGTTTGCAGAAGTGGTATTCCTTTTACAGTTTACCGGTTTCAGTCCTAACGTAATCATCAACCATTGGCACTTTAAATGTATCTATCTACTTTTCCATATTAACAATAAACTTGTTAGTAAATGACCCATCAGTTCCTTCTGTGGAGTGGACCCATGAGTTACTGACTGATTATAATTGCACTCAAAATGTAGTCAATGTTTGGAATTTTCAACGAAGGGACTGCGAAAAGGTACTATTTTTGTTTTTGAATCTCTTGATATCTTTCCTCATCTTCACCATTTTCTAAATCTCATATCAGATCCACTCGTTTGCATATTAATATAGTCTTTAATTCTTTTTTTTTTTTTTTAAGAAAAAATTGCAAGATCTTCTCTCTCACTCTCAGCGGTATTTGCATAAAATGCAATCTGAGTTTTTTTCCGCGATGATATTTTGCAGAAGGAAGAAGGACAAGCCAAGAAACTGGTTCCTCGAAAATGGAAGCAAGTTTCTTCAAGAACTCATCTCTGATTGTAATGGTGTTTCAAACCCTATCCGGTTCTTCTCTTCCGATCAAATCCTCAAAGCCACGGATCGTGATTGTTATGTCTCTGGTCATACATTCTTCACCTGGTACAAAGGTGTCATCGAAAACCGACCTTACACCATCAAGAAATACACAAGTTCCAGGTTTAAAGGAGAGGATCTACCAGAGGATCACAATGACATTGTCTTATCTATTCGGGTAAGTAATCACAGTGGTTTCCTCAAACTCATAGGATGCTGTCTTGAATTTCCTTCTCCGGCCGTGGTGTTTGAAAATCCAGAATATGGATTTTTAAACAGTCGAGGAAGTGTTGGTAGCGCGTTGTTGCCTTGGAATGTTCGATTAAAGATTGCCAGGGAGGTTGCGACTGCTATAACTTATCTTCATACAGCTTTCCCTAGGATCATTATACACAGAGCTATCGACCCAATGAATGTTTTCTTGGATAAGAATTGGAATGCTAAGGTGACTGGTTTCTATTTATCTGTAATACTCCCTGTGGGTAAGTTGTGGATTAAAGACAAGGTGATGGGAACTAAAGGATACTTAGATCCAATTTATGAGACTACGGGTTTTGTGACAGAATACATAGATGTGTTCAGCTTTGGAATCCTTATGTTGGTTCTACTGATGGGAAGACCAGTATTTCATTATGTATCAAGTGAGGTTCCTATGTATATTTTCGAATACGTGAATGATCTGCTGGAGAGAGGAGAACCTATAGAATTCGGGGATGGTTCAAACAACAAGGAGCCTGGTCAGATGAAAATGTTTTTTGAGCTAGCGATGAGATGCTGTGGGGAAAGGAATGAAGATAGGCCAAAGATGATCATGGTTGCAAAAGAGATTAAGCTAATAGAAAGATCTCTCGATTCTTAAAGCCTGAAGATGCTGAATAATGGGTGTAAGGATACTCAGTTTTAAGATTGAGATCATGCATTCATGCTCATACAAGGGCTGCTGGTGTATTAGCTGGATGGATTTCTTATCTCTTAATAGTTTAATGCTTTTCGAGTAAAATAAAGGGTAGGTTTGGAAATCAGGCCTCAACATGTAGCCATGAAGGGATGGTTCTGGACCTTTTTCTGCTTTTCAGAGAACCTTGTTGTTAAACTAAGGTAAATCCATTCCCATACGCAGTTTTTCTTCTGACCAGATCCTTAAAGCCACCAAGAACTTCGATTCAACCTGTTTTGTTGCCTTCGAGGGGTTCCACACGTGGTGGTACAGAGGTATAATCGAAAACAGAGCTTACATGATCAAAAGATACATGGTTGATAAAGGTATAGAACACAAAGTAGGAGAGGTTTACAATGACTTTGTCTTGTCTGCTCGGATGAGCAATCACAGTAACTTTCTCAAGCTGTTAGGATGCTGTTTGGAGTCTTGTTATCCTGTTCTTGTGTTTGAAAACGCAGAACACGGAGTCTTGAATCAACGAGGAGGTGTTATGGTTAACTGGGAAGAATCTTTATTACCATGGAATGTTCGGTTAAAGATTGGTAAAGAGATTGCAAATGCGGTTGCTTATCTTCACACGGCGTTTCCCGAGATTACTATCCATAGAGATGTTAAGCCAACGCATGTTTTCTTGGACAAGAATTGGACTGCAAAGTTGTCCGGCTTCTCGTTCTCCATTACATTACCTGAGGGAAAATCGAAAAGCGCAACTGTTCCAGTCGTGGGAACATCGGGGTACATMGATCCATCATACCGTGTTAYAGGCTCGGTAACAGAATATACCGATGTGTATAGCTTTGGAGTGTTTTTGATGGTTCTTCTCAGTGGCAGACCGGTTTTCTTCAATGGATCTAATGGCAAGCGCGAAGGAATTCGTGGCTATGTGAGAGACTTGTATGAGAATGACAAGCTTGATGAAGTGATTGATCCGTTTTATCCAACGATGGCGAAAGATATCACAAGTTGTCAAAGATTGCAGGTAGAAGCATGTGTTGTACTTGCTCTGAGATGTTGCCAGAAGAGAGATGAAGACAGGCCAAAGATGGTCCAAGTAGCTAAAGAACTCAAGCGGATTGAGACATCATTTTTAACTTTTTAAGGGATCCTCTATTCGGGTATAACCTCTATACAACTTCTGTTACATTTGCTTGAACTATATGTAGTTAAGTAAACAAAGTAAACAATCCTTGCATTATGAAGTATGGAAACTCAGAATCTTACATACAACATATATAGTGAAAGAAAGCTCGAAAAGATAATACTGAACAATAGATAAGATAGATCTGTTTTGAATCTCATATGAAAACTTTGCGGTCAAGTTTGTTTTTCTGTCTGCTTGAGTTCTTTTGCAACGTCTATCATTTGAGGCACGTCCTCTCCTGGTCTGAAACTACCACATCTCAAAGCAAGTTCAACAAATGTTTCCATCTGCAGTCTTGAATAATCGGAAATGTCCTCATCCGCGCTGTTTAACATCGATGGGTCTATCAGTTTAGTGAACAGTCCTGGCCGCAGAAGCTTACCAACATATCCAGGCAAATGCTCAGTAGTGTTACCAATATCCGGATCACGAATGAATTCAGCCTTCCTGTCAAAAGACTTAGCATGATGAATCCAAGCCTATAGACGTCAACATTCTCAGTGACAAAACCTGTGACGCAATACTGGGGCTCAATACAGCCTGTTGTCCCGATAACCATGGCATATACGCCGGGTCTCCCTCTGGAATTGGTATGCTGAGGCTGAAAGAAGAGAGCTTAGCAGTCCAATTCTCGTCCAAGAAAATGTTTTCAAGCTTTAAATCCCTATGGATTATAGTCCTAGGGAATTCAGTATGGAGATATGTTACAGCATCCGCAATCTCTTTAGCGATCTTCAATCTTACATTCCATGCCAATGGCTTTATTCCCGCCCCTACACGTCTAGTACAGCCCATAATAAGAGCTCCCGGGTATTCACACACAAGAACCGGACGAGGAAACTCTAGACAACACCCTAAAAGCTTGAGAACGTTCTTGTGGCTGCTCATCATCGATGAGACAGCTATATCACTGTAAAAGTTGTCAGCTTCGTGAAGGGAACAGTCTTGGAGTTTCTTGATCAGTACGGGTCTGCTTTCGATCACGCCTTTGTACCACACGAATCTGTCTTCAAAGATTACATAGTTCCTGTCGAAGTGGTTTGTAGCTTGAAGGATTTGGTTGGACGGAAACGTACGGATTGGATTGTATTTACCTCCAGTAGATGCAATGAGTTTCTCCAATAATAAGCTCCCATTCTTCTGGAAATTGATCTCCTTTTGTCTCGTCTTCTTCTTCCTCCTTGACGAACACAACATCTTTTAGTTCAGAAATTGAGGTTAAAGATCTTCTTGCCAAAGAAGAGACACAAATAAGAAACAAAGAAAGAAAAAAACGAGAGACAAGTCAAGTCAACTTGAGTAGGCTCTGGTTTTCTGTAGGACCATCGTTACAACACCATCAATGAATATGTTTATTGGCCTTAGAAGATGGGCTAGAGAAGGAAATGATTTGTGAGTATGCAGAGAACAGATCTCTACAACCGGTGAACAAGGTCAGTAGTCCATTGCCTTGGAGCATACGGTTTGAAGATCGAGAAGGAGAACACCAATGTTGTAGCTGATACTGAAACTGACATTGTAAAATTGCTCTGTAACATTGTAAAATGCATTAACAATGTAAATCCAGTTGTGATACATTGAGACAAGTTACATCTTTGTTGTATTATACTTTTAGTAGAAAGCATACACAAAGCAGGTAACGGCAAAACACAGCAAATGCATATCTGAGCTTCCTTGAGAGATTTGTTTTAAGTATGAGTCTGAGATCCATACTTTCAGGAGGAAATGATTTTCAAACTGTAGGCCAGGAACAGAGGACTGATGTTTGGATCCGCTTGAGTTCTTTAGCTACTTGGATCAGCTTTGGCCTGTCTTCCTCCCTCTCTTCGCAGCACCTCGGAGCAAGTTTAGCACACGCTCCCAGCTGCATTTTTTGAACACTTGTAATGTCTTTAATTAGCATTGGATCAATTACTTCATTGAGCTTACCAGTCTCACATAACCCTTTCACATAGCTATGATGAACACCTTGGTATTCTCCATCAGATCCACTGATGACAGCTGATTCGCCAGTGAGAAAAACCAACAAACAGATTCCCAATGCAGTTGCTTATCTTCACCCGGCGTTTCCCGAGATCACTATTCATAGATATGTTAAGCCAACGCATGTTTTCTTGGACAAGAATTGGACTGCAAAGTTGTCCGGCTTCTCGTTCTCCATTACATTACCTGAGGGAAAATCGAAAAGCGCAACTGTTCCAGTCGTGGGAACATCGGGGTACATCGATCCATCATACCGTGTTATAGGCTCGGTAACAGAATATACCGATGTGTATAGCTTTGGAGTGTTTTTGATGGTTCTTCTCAGTGGCAGACCGGTTTACTTCAACGGATCTAATGGTAAGCGCGAAGGAATCCGTGGATATGTGAGAGACTTGTATGAGAATGACAAGCTTGATGAAATAATTGATCCGTTTTATCCAACAATGGCGAAAGATATCACAAGTAGTCAAAGATTGCAGGTAGAAGCATGTGTTGTACTTGCTCGGAGATGTTGCCAGAAGAGAGATGAAGACAGGCAAAAGATGGTCCAAGTAGCTAAAGAACTAAAGCGGATTATGACATCATTGAGAGATCCTAGCTAGAGATCCTCTCTGTTCTTGTAATATAAAGCTAGGTTTGAAACTCAATACATGCATAAAATATTTCTCTAAGGGAAACTCGGAAATTAATAAGAGAATGATTTGTTACATAATTCAACCTCAGTTTTAACACTTTAGTACTCTGTTCTTACCTCCTCCTCTGGCCTGAATGTTATGCCCTTTGATGAAGTTTCTATTTTTTTGTTTCATGCCAAACTTTGAAATGTTTTCTCTTTGTTGGTTTACAACAGAGAGCACACACATGGCTAAATGTTGTCTGTTTTTCAAAAGTGAACATGTTTCTTTTCTGTTGACCAGTGATGAGTATATCTAAGAAAATTGGACCAAATGTAGTCAATGGGTTAGAATTTTCAAACTGGGAAAATTGGACCAAAGCTAGTCATTATGAATTTTCAAAATGTGTATGCACACAGAAAGATTAAAGATTGGTTTTCAGATGCACCGTTCTGGTCAGAAATCAAATCTTCTTTTTTTCAGTTTTAGAGGACAATTGAACATCTTTTTGCCCTGACAATTTATCATTTGTTAAATGGAATCCATGGTGAAGAATTTGAAGAGAAATCTGAGATCTGTATTTTCAGGGAAGAAGAAGGAAAAGAGGTTCTTGGAGAACGGAAGCATCTTCTTGAAAGAGCTCATCGCTGATTGTAACGGTAAATCCATTCCTTTACGAAGTTTTTCTTCTGAGCACATCCTTAAAGCCACCAATAACTTCCATTTAAGTAGTATTGTCACGGAAGAGGGGTTTTTCATTTGGTACAAAGGTGTAATCGAAGATAGATCTTACATGTTCAAGAGATACTCCGAGAATAAAGTTAAAGAACACAGGAGAGGTTTATAAAGACATTGTCTTGTCTGCTCGGATGAGCAACCACGGCAACTTTCTTAAACTATTAGGATTTTGTCTCGAGTTCCCTTTTCCGGTTCTGGTGTTTGAAAACGCAGAGCATGGAGTTTTGAACCAGCGAGGAGGTATTATGGTTAACGGTCAAGAATCTTTGTTGTCTTTGAGTTTAAGATTGAAGATTGGCAAAGAGGTTGCAAATGCTGTGACTTATCTTCACATGGCGTTCTCTAAGATCATCATATATAGAGATGTTAAGCCTATGCACGTTTTCTTGGACAAGAAATGGACCGCAAAGCTGTCTGATTTATCCTATGCCATATCTCTCCCTGAGGGAAAATCAAGAATAGAAGCTGAAACAGTTTTGGGAACAGTCGGGTACATCGATCCATTATACTTTGCCACGATTTTGGTCACAGAATATACTGATGTATATAGCTTTGGAGTCTTTTTGATGGTTCTTCTCACTGGCAGAACAGCTCTCGTCTCCACTGGATTTGATGGTGATTACGAAGGTATTATAAGTTATGTGAAAGGCTTATATGAGAATGGGAAGCTCGATGGAATATTTGATCCGGTGATGATGAAAAACATCACAACTGGTCAAAGATTGCAGGCGGAAGCATGTGTTGTACTTGCGTTGAGATGCTGCGAGTTGAGGGATGAAAACAGACCGAAGATGATCGAGATAGCTAAAGAACTCAAGCAGATTGAGACATCTTTTTTAAGATCCTAGCTAGAGATGATCGGTAACTGAATATACCGATGTGTATAGCTTTGGATTGTTTTTGATGGTTATTCTTAGTGGTAGACCGGTTTTGTTCAACGGATCTAATGGTAAGCGCGAAGGAATCCGTGGCTATGTGAGAGACTTGTATGAGAATGAGAAGCTTGATGAAGTGATTGATCCGTTTTATCCAACAATGGCGAAAGACATCACAAGTTGTCAAAGATTGCAGGTAAGAGCATGTGTTGTACTTGCTCTGAGATGTTGCCAGAAGAGAGATGAAGACAGGCCAAAGATGGTCCAAGTAGCTAAAGAACTCAAGCGGATTGAGACATTATTTTTAAGAGATCCTCTGTCCGGATATAACCTCTAAACAACTTCTGTTACATTTGCTTGAACTATATGTAGTTAAGTAAACAATCCTTGCATTATGAAGTATGGAAACTCAGAATCTTACATACAACATATATAGTGAAAGAAAGCTCGAAAAGATTAGACTGAATAATAGATAAGATAGATCTGTTTTAAAACTCAAATGAAAACTTTGCGGTCAAGTTTGTTTTTCTATCTGCTTGAGTTCTTTTGCAACGTCTATCATTTGAGGCACGTCCTCTCCTGGTCTGAAACTAACACATCTCAAAGCAAGTTCAACAAATGTTTCCATCTGCAGTCTTGAATGATCAGGAGTGTTCTCATCCGCGCTGTTTAACATCGATGGGTCTATCATTTTAGTGAACAGTCCTGGCCGCAGAAACTTACCAACATATTCAGGCAGCGTAGAAGTGTTACCAATATCCGGATCATGAATGAATTCAGACTTTCCTGTCAAAAGACTTAGCATGATGAATCCAAGCCTATAGACGTCAACATTCTCAGTGACAAAACCTGTGCTGCAATACCGGGGCTCGATATAGCTTGTTGTCCCCATAATCATGTCAAATACGCCGGATTCTCCCTCCGGAATCAGTATGCTGAGGCTGAAAGAAGAGAGCTTGGCAGTCCAATTCTCGTCCAGGAAAATATTTGCAAGCTTTAAATCCCTATGGATTATAGTTCTTGGGAATTCGGTATGAAGATACGTTACAGCATCCGCAATCTCCTTAGCGATCTTCAGTCTTACATTCCAAGGCAATGGCTTGATGCCCGCCCCTGCACGCCTCTGATCGGTAAGAGCTCCATTTTCCGGGTATTCACACACGAGAACCGGATGAGGAAACTCTAGACAACACCCTAAAAGCTTGAGAACGTTCTTGTGGCTGCTCATCATCGATGAGACTGCTATATCACGGTCGAAATTGTCAGGTATGAAATTACAGGTTTCTTCTCTATAGTTCTTGATCAGCACGGCTCTGTTTTCAATAGTACCTTTGTACCACACGAATCTGTCTTCAGAGATTACATGGTTCCAGTCGAAGTGGTTTGTAGCTTGAAGGATTTGGTTGGAAGAAAACGTACGGATGGGATTGTATTTACCTCCTGAAGATGCAATGAGTTCCTCCAACAATAAGCTCCCATGCTTCTGGAAATGAATCTCCTCTTCTTTCATCTTCTTTTTCCTCCTTGACAAACACAACATATTTTAGTTCAGAAATTGAGGTTAAAGATCTTCTTGCGAAAGAAAAGACACAAGCAAGAAAAAAAGGAAAGAGAAAAAACGAGAGACAAGTCAAGTCAACTTGAGTAGGCTCTAGTTTTCTGTAGGACCATCGTTACAGTACCATCAATGAATACATCTACTGGGCCTAGAATAAGTAATAAAGAAGGAAATGATTTGTGAGTATGCAGAGAACAGATCTCTACAACTGGTGGTCAAGGTCAGTAGTTCATTGCCTTTGGAGCATACGGTTCGAAGATCGAGAAGGAGATCACAAATGTGGTAACTGATACTGAGACTTATTATATTGTAACATTGTAAAATGCATTAAGAATGTAAAACAGTTGTGATACATTGAGAGAAGTTACATGTTTATGTATGAGTCTGAGTTCCATACTTCAGAAGGAAATGATTTTCAAACTGTAGGCCAAGAACAGAAGATCTCTAAAATGATGTCTGAATCCGCTTGAGTTCTTTAGCTACTTGGATCATTTTCGGTCTGTCTTCCTCTCTCTTCTCGCAGCAGTTCAGAGCAAGTACAATACACGCTTCCAGCTGCAATTTTTGGGCATTAGTGATCTCTTTCATCATTATTGGATCGATTACTTCATCGAGCTTCCTATTCTCATATAATCCTTTCACATAGCTAAGAATACCTTGGGGACACCCACCAGAGCCAGTGGAGACGAAAGCAGATTTGTTAGTGAGAATAACCATCAAGAAGACTCCAAAGCTGTACACATCCGTATTTTCTGTCACGAAACCCGTGGTTTAATATTAATGACTTAACATCTCTATGTATGATAATCTTAGGGAAGGCCATGTGAATATAAGTCAGAGCATTTGCAATCTCCTTTCCAATCTTCAACCGTACATTCCACGGCAATATTGATTCCCCTCCATCAACCATAATACCTCCTCGCTCATTCAGAACCCCATGTACTGTGTTTTCATACACAATAATCGGAAGACTAAACCCGAGACAACATCCAATTAGTTTCGGAAAGTTGATGTGGTTGCTCATCCGAGCAGACAAGACAGTGTCATTGTAAACCTCTCCCACTCTGTCTCCTGTATACTCCAAGAATCTCTTGATCAAGTAAGACTTGTCTTCGAAGAAACCTATATAGCTACTATGGCTCCTCTTCTTGGTGATAAGGTAAATGGAATCAAAGGATCTGGTCAGAAGAAAAGCTACGTATAGGAACGGATTTACCATTACAATCGGCGATAAGTTTTTCTAACAAAATGCTCCCGTTTTCCACGAACCACCTTTTCTCCTGAATTTCCTTTGCCTTCTTTTTCCCGAACCACCTCAGCTTCTTCACCATCGATCCCACTTAACAAATAACAAATTTCTGGGATTCGAACAAGAAAAACCAAATGTCTGAATGCATATGTTAGCTTCGTGTGGAGAAGAAATGAAATCTTGTTATTGATATTAATGACTGTATTACATCATTTATAGTAATCCGGTTAAAGCAACATACCGGATCTAATGTAAACCAACACTAAATCAGCATCAAACCAATAAACACATATTTAAGTCTGATAGCTTTTTTCTCTTGGCCATAAGGAAAACAAATTCCAACCATTGTGAGAGGAACGCATCAGATTGACGCCGTCACGTCTTTTGTTGTTTATTGGCT